GAGAAAAATATGCTAGATCTTCAAGGTGCCATGTGGCCACATGTCTTTACCAGCAGAGCTGGTGGAAAACCCAAGTGACTGAAAGGTAACTGCAATCAGCTTGTAAAATAAGGGAAGCTTCTTCATAAGGGTCTTAGACTACAACAGCATGGAGACAGCAAAAGTAAAAGAACATTTGAGACAATTAGAGCAGGCAACAAAAACATCTATGAACTTTAACAAGAAGGCAGAAGTATTTCTTTCCCCATATAACCAAGAAAACACACAGCTGCCACTCAAGGAAAGTCCTGTGCTATTTCAGAAACATTTGGTCTAAGAGATGAAACTTTTTATCCCCAGATACACTTCTGCATAAAATACCAAATGTAAGGGTTGGACATCTATAACATTTTCAGAAGAAAATATTCCCCAGTTCAAATGTGGAAAATTAAAGATAAACATATTTTGAACATATGACCACTGAGGAATAAAAAAATAATCTTCAGCAAGCAGGTAAAATTCAGATGTAAAACTGGAATCATGTAACAAGACATTTGACAAAATTATTTTTAAATGGACTTTTTTATTAATACCTGTTTAGTTATTCAGCCATTACATATTTTGCCTGACCTTATTGTTTGGTTCTCTATTCCCTAAACTTTTTGGTTCTTTATTCCCTAAACATTTTGATAAATTTTTGTCCTAACCTCTGACTGCATTAAATGTAAAGAGCCTGATGGACATGACATCTACACATTCCTCTTTTCCACTGAACAATTTAAACTCTTACTGCTAATTACAAAATTCTTGCCTGAGTGCCACTGCTCACTAAGTTACTTAATGTAACTCTGTGTCTTTTAGAACAGTTCCATATTTTTCTAAAACTTCATTTTTTACACCACACTGCTCCCCAAAAACCTCACAGATACGTTTGATTTAATTCTAACTACCTAAAAGTTTTCCTTCTTCCCAGCTTTATATCATCCACAGGTTTGTCACCTCCTCACTATGTTCCAAGACATTAATTAATGAGACATAAAACACAAGGAAATTTCTGCGGGACAAAACTTTGTTCTATCTTGAATCATTAAAATGAAATAAAACCTGAAGTAATTGTTGAAACAGTCATAAAGCAGCAATCTTATTTAATTAAGTAACCCACCTGGCTTCAAATTCTTATACGTTTTCTAAGTTTTGTTGAATCAAAGGAGCTCCAGCAGACTTCTTGGAAGGACTGATACCTTTTAAAGGTTTCAAAAGTCATCACAAGCACTACCTCCACTCTCCTCCATTCTCCATCCTCAGAAATACAAAGCAATTCTATTTTAGACTGAGACTTCTAGGTCTGTTTACAGGGGAGCAGAGTTCAGGGGGAGGAAATGTTTCTTTTCACAGACTTCATTAAATAAAAGATTCACAAGACATTTTTGCAATAAATTCATAGAATCATCGAATTGTTTAGGCTGGAAAAACCTTTAAAGCTCTCAAATACAACCATTAACCCAGCAGTGCCAATCCACCACTCAAATATGTCCCTGTGTCTGAAACATCTGCAGGAACAGTGACTCCACCACTTCCCTGGGCAGCCTGTTCCAATGTTCCACTCTTCCCACGACATTTTTTTCCTAACATCCAATCTAAATCTCCCCTGGTGCAACTTGAGGCCATTGCCTCTTGTCTTGTCACTGTTACCTGGGAGAAGAGACCAACCCCACCTGGCTCCAGCCTCCTGTCAAGGGTTGTAGGAGGCATTAAGGTCCTCCTGGCCTTCCTGTTCTTTGGGAGTTAAAATGAGGAAAATCAGGGTTGATGAAGAAGGATGAGGAAACATCAGCCCAGAGCAGCTCCTTGAAATTCCACAAACCATCCAACAAAACCCCCTGCTCAAAACCATCTTCACCACAGCCAACAAAATCTTACACCTTTACAAACAGAAAAGTTTAACAGGCAAATGCCCTCATGGGAAAGCATTTGGGAAAACAGACTTTGAGAAGTTGCCGGTTCTTGGCTGGCCTCTGTAAAGGATAATATGAATGTTTATCTGGTGAGGAAAAATATATTGAATTGAGTAACCCTCTCAAGGCATTTGCCACCAGCAAGCTGACACAGCACACCACCACTCAGAGTAGCCCAGCTTGCTCTGACTGAACAAACAAAAAAAACTTCTCCAAACTTCATAAAATAACCCAGTCTGGGTCAATGGAGAGAGCACTGTTATGTCTATGTGTTTGATATGCTGTTAAATAGTCATTCCAATTAGAAATTATTCGTGCAGGGGCTAAAGCAACCACAGAGATTACGTTTACATGTGTCAAGAAGCACCAAGATGGATCAAAATTTTTAAAAAACTCCACCTATAAATTTGATGATTAAAGGTAAAACTGCTGTGAAGCAAAGAAAAAAAACAAACAGAAAAATGAAATGAGAAAAGAAGGCATATCTAAAAGTTGAAAAAGCAAATTGGCAAGAGTTTCAGGGTCTGAAATTAGAGGACCTGGAATTTCTGTGCATGCTCAGGAGGCTGCAGGATGCAAGGCTGTAGGAGGTGATGTCAGAAGTGTGTCTGTGCCTCGCCACTGGGCTCAGGAGAGACCTGATAAGCAGATTTCTGGTTTGTTTTGGGCCCTGGCTTCCATTTTATCAAAGGTTTCATAAGAGTTTACAACTTTCTTTGTGAGCAACACAGACTTCATACAACCAAAATCTGAATCAAAGGCAGCATGTGACTTTCGTTTTGACTTGAGAATTATTATTATTTTCATTATATAGAGCACAACCGCCTCAATTATCAGGAACACTAAGAACTATCCAGATAAAAACTAACAAGTACAATCTACTTGTAAGGCATCAGAGAATAATTACACCCTCCCCACAAAAAATGAAAAATACAAGTGTAGTTGATAACAAAAAGGAAAATTTAAAAAAAGGTATGTATGCACAAGCTTTATAATATTGAAATATACAACCTGTTTTCTCAGAGGATGTTGTATTAGAAAAATATAACTGAAATAGTTCCCAAATAACTGATTCCACTCAATTAAAAAGAAAAACAAAAACAGCAGTGTCCACTTTCTAAGATAACACTGGAATAAACAATTGCTTGGGAAATATGCTATGGCTGGTACATCTCCTTATAACCACTTAAGACCACACACTACAGTTTAAAGTGTGATTTTAAATAGATATGAAAGTCTAACCCTCTGACTATGCTACTGGTGAAGTTCAGTTCCACAGATGGCTGGTGCACCCCCTTATAACCACTTAAGACCACACACTACAGTTTAAAGCATGATTTTAAATAGATATGAAACTAAACCTCTAACTATGCTACAAGTGAAGTTCAGTTCCACAATGCCTGGTAACAAATTCTTTTTAGAGAACAATCAAACCTTGCTGTTATCTGTGCTGACCCAAATCTCCTTTAGTGTCTGACTGCCCGTGGTTCAGCTTCATTACCTCACTATATTAATTAGTGAATAAAGGGAAAACCAAGATTTTTCCTGTACTTTTTCTTTCCTTTAGTACAACATTCCACTATAGAAAATAAGAGTCAAGAAATTACTCTAAGTCTGTTTTGCTGTTGTTGAACAAATAGGGAAACTGAAAATCATTCAAGGGAATCATCAAAATAACTGAGCTAATGACAGGACTGATTCTTCTCCCATCCTTGAGAAAGATGAGTGTCTTAGGTGGAATAAGAATCTTCATTTTATTTCAGAAAAATCTCCGATTTTACTTTTTCCTTAAACAGAAGAATATTTTAGTCTCATGTTTCAATATGGCTCTCAGCTTAACAGGCAACCATGGAAAACTTCGTGGGACAATCTGAACTTTTGAAGGAAACAGACACTTCTCCATGAAACTCTTAAAAATGGGTTTAGCTGGTATTGTCTTTTCATGTATTTTTATCTTAGTACCACTGGGGAAAAAAAAGTGACCTACAAAAACCTCTAGAAAAATCAGATCTGACAGTAACATATAGAATGGGAATATTCTATATGTTGGAATATAGAACAGCTTTGACTTAGGGAGGCCAGTCTGCTTTCTTTCCCTCGTCAGTCTGCAGCCAGTGTGGACAGACAAAACCTCCCCCAGGAGGTAACTCAGAGCAGAAACCAGCTTGGGGTGCTCCTCATCACCCGCTGGGGAAGCTGAGTTATTGTACCAACCCCAGGAACCCAAGGAGACAAATACTCCTGGGTTAGATTAACCTTTGTGCCCCCTGCACCATCCACTGCTGTGACTCCTCGTAGGGTGCAGCACGGAGTTTGTGCTGGTTCTGTTGTGTTCACACCAAGATCTGCCACTGGGAGACTCTTCTTTGATTTCATTTATTACTGGGTTGGAAGGCTACACAAGCCTGGTTTCATAACTTCTAAATTATTTTAATATTTAAATGCCATTCTCATGTCTAATGGTCAAGTTGTTATTTATGCTGAACAACCTATCCTCTCCAAGCTCTTACTCAGTTCAAGTCTAACATAGCTTTAGTCCTTCTACATTTGGATAAGAAACAAGCCTAGATGCAACTTCACCATTTTTACAGGAAAACATATTTCATCTTCCATGTTCAAAACTTTTATTATTAATTTTCTTATATCAATTAGCATTTTATCCTGAACCAAAATTCTCCAGTTTATTTTTGCATATAGGTTTTTAATTCAGTCCATCTGAAGAGATGCTGCAAGGGATAACAAGTGTTCAACTTACTTTGAACAAGGACAGAAGTAAAGCTGAATACTGATACTCCAGAACTAAGAATCTTAACTCTGTTGTATGGGCATTAAACTCCACAAATCACACAATCATAAAGGCTGAAAAAGACCTCCAGGGTCAAGTGAGTCCAACCTCTGGCCAATAATCACCATATCAACTAAACCACAACACTACTAAAATGTAGTATAGTAAAGACTGGTACATTTTTCAAATAAAATTGAACTTTTTTGCTTTGGGAAGCCATCAGGCCCAAGAAAAAAACATAAATCTGTCCTTCTCAACACATTTTCCTCACCAATATTTCTGTTATGCTTCTGGAGTGGCATTTGGCCAGCATTTTCTGTATGGGATTGCAATTTTTCTTCATTTTACATATTAATAGCCACATTCAATCAAGCCCAAGATACTCTTCTGCTTATATTGTGTTTTTAGCAATGGCTGAGAGCAGAGGTCTGGGAAGAGCACCAGGACAAGGAAAGCATGCAGGGATGGACTTTGAGATCCCTCTGCAGCCTTCAGGCACTGGGCTCTGTGTTCTTCTAAGCAGGAGTTGATGCTTTTGCATCAGTCCACACCCAGATAATCCTGCAGTGTGTGCAGTGGCTCACAGCTAAACTATGCACCATGGAAAAAATACCACCTCTTACTTGCTCTGAATCTGCCACTTGATAATTTTATTTGATCCCCTCTGGGTCTTGTTCTACAAGAAACACTTAATGAGCATTCCCTGTTCTTTTTTTTTTTTTCCATTACACTCCTATATAGATTTTTATCATTTTCATCTTTAGCTACTTCTTTGCCAAGCTGAAGGTTCTCAATCTGTTTAATTTCTCTTTATCATCACTGCCACCCATTTTTAGTTCTCTTATCTCCCTTTTTTCCCCTCCTCAGTCTTCCTTTACACCCAGGACTCAGAACAGCACTCTGAGGTCAAGACAAAAGCACAGGCAGTTTACAAACTGGCATAGCAGACTTCTGCTCTGTGAGCCATCTTTCCCTAATTTTTCTTTTTTTTTTTCACTAATCCCAAACTCTTGATCAATGCTTGGATTTGGCATGATAAACTCTCTACAACATCACTTCCTTCCATGCTAATAAACTCAACAATGGCAGGATTGTTCTCCACCACATGCATTACTTCATAGCACCAGCAGCAAGCTTCAACCCCAGTTACTAAGCATCACAAGCTCCCTCTTGGGTTCTTCATAATTGGCCTTCATTTATGCTTCTCTCATTAACTTAGAATCATTCTGCACTCCAATGCATACTGGTGTTAAACTTAGCACAGATCCATGAGTAACTCTATCCATCCCTTCTGTTAAACAGGACATTTATTCATCTTTTGGCCAGCAGTCTAGGACAAAAAAAAAATTCCTCTTATGTCAGAGAAGTTTCATTTTGCTCAGCACCTTTGGTGAGTCGCTCTCACAAGACTCCCTGAAACCCCAGTGTACTGCATCAGCTAAATCACACTTACTCACAACCTCAGCAGTGCCTTCAAAGAACTCCACCAGACCCGTGAGACTGTTCTGACTCCTTCCTGGTACCTCAAACTCAGTCCATGAGTGCTTCAGTTTTCTTCTCCATGGTATTTACCAGAAAACTGGCTGGTAGGAGTGCCAGTCAAACTTGTCCTGTTCTTTCCCACAGGCTTTCTGGAAGACTTTTTAAAAACTGGCATCACCTTTGGCACCCTCAGCTTCACTGCTACTGTGAACATTGTCATCTCACATGCCTTTAGCTAAAGGTGCAACATGCTTTGAGCTCTTTTAGATGTTAGTTATCTACTGCACCATTGGCCATCCCATTTCTGATCATTTTCAAAGAACTCATGACACGTTCCTCTGCCTTTTACAAATTACATATCAGGCTTTAACTTGTTTTACTATATATTTCATGTTTATTTTGCATTAATTTCACCTTTTTAAAATTTTTGAACATCTTTTTCAGAGTATCTTTCTGTTCCCTACATTATGCTCAACCGTGCTAAATAACGCTCAAAACTTTTTTAAAGAGTCAGAGAAGCAGTTTTTAAGAAATATGCATTTTTTTTCTGAGCTCTCCACAACGGCTGCAAGCATTTTATTCTCTTGACAGCTCCTCTTACCAGGCTGTCCATAGGATCCCTAATCAGTGTCCTGCTCAATACCTTCTCTGTGGCAGATGTGGACTGTCAATGACTCACTGCAGAACGAAGCCATCAGTCCCTCCATTTTATATTCCACTCTTCCAACATTTGCATAGGAACACTTCCATTTTGGCCTGCCTGCCTGTCCTCCTGTCTAAATAGGACCTAATTTTCCAGCAGTCCTTGACTGTTCTCTAGATGACCTTCATCAACTTCTGCCCAACATACTTCACCTACAGCCAGTGTCACCTTGACCTGTGTGCCTTTCCTGCTTTCCCTCATGCAGAACATTGGGATTGCACTGCACACTGATGCTGCACAGCTCTTTACTCTTCACCTTTTATCCAGCAACTCATGTGCTGCTTCCAGCACTCTTCTGGTAGCCTTTATGTCACCAGCACTTCTCCACCTTGAGCAGACAGCCTGGACTCCTTTTGCTGTAAGCCACTTTGTGGTTTGAAGGTTACCAAATGCTCCCTTCCAGCACTGGTTACACTCCTCAGCAGGAGATGTCTCTGCATCACCTGGAACCAACACCACACAATGGAATTTTTAGAGCAAAAGGACTCTTGGCCATCACCTGACAGCAAGGTCTCATCTACAGGATGAGTTTTTTTGGACATAATTTCAGGGTCATTGATGTCCTGCTGCTCATGGAATCCCAGTGGCAGCCTCCCTGGAGACAGAGGTGGGAATACCTGCCTGGAGGTTTGCTTTGCACATTTGCATGTTGTGACTTTCACAAGAGTTCAGTTGCATTAATCTGCAACGAGCATCTTGCAGTGTCATAACTATCCCTTTGGTTTAACAGCTGCATTAATACTGTTGAGGGCAAGTAAATGCTTCTTTTTATTTTTTTTTCCTAACTGGAGATATCAACCTCTAGCCTGAGAAGCCAAAGGGTTTAGGCTAAATAGCCTCAGACACTCCTTGTGTTTTACGCTCTCTCATTGTATTCCACTGAAATTCTCACTTTGTGTCTCTCCCTCCAGAGACTTTGATTCAGACTGTCCTCATCCTCCTGGAAGACACTGGTTTTCTAAAACTCTAAAACCATTCTAGTGGTTTTCTAAAAATCCATCTTTAATACTGGACTGGTTTGTGCTTGTGAAAGTGTAAAGTATTTATTTATTTTGTGCAATGTTAATAACTTCTCTGCCTTCCATTCAGCCTCTTTAATCCATTCCTCAGGTTCCCACAAACCATTTTCAAGACAATCCACTGAAAGTAAAGAGGAGTAAGAAAGTTTAATTTTTCTTGTGTAACACTCTGGTATCATTAACAGACATTTCCCATAACTGCTGGGCAATCATGCTTTATAATCTAACAGATCACAGCCACTTTATGACAGCATGAAAGGACTGATTGTGCAAGCCCTTAAACACTGCTTCCCTAAGACAACAGAACACAACCAGCCACAACTTTTAGCTCAAAACAGAAGCACAGAGCTGTTTTTGAAGATGCAGCCTCTTCTGCACTGTTGAGGGGAGCTGTACTGACAAACACACCCTTCACCAAATCAAAGAGTATTCTTCATAACCAAGACTTGCTGATTCAAAGTGGGACCTCACGCGTTTAGATTCCAAATTTAGATTTCTTACTATGAATTCTACTTTCAATTACACCAAGTCTGCTGCATTTTGATGGCTCTGATGTACACAGCTCTCGACACAAAAGAAGTCTTGAGAGCTTCCACACACACACACTGTCACTGCTGTATTTATAGGCAAGATGCTCAAACATTTGCATTTTATTGTAAGGGGTAAATTGTGCCATACAGTACAGAAAAAAAATTCAATACCGATTCACAAAACAGGCCTGATTTTTCTGTTGATAGAAAATGGTTCTAGTTCCCTTTCCACCATCAAATCTAATTTAAAGTAACCCACTGTAGTGCAAATACATCAGATACTTAGTAATCTCCTGTAATGGCAGGGAAATTCATCACAAATTGCTGAATGTTATGAATCATCTTGTGAACACATAACTGCCATACACTGAAAAAGGCGCTTTAACAAGTGATTTCATTCATTTATGTCAATACTTCATAATTAGCACAGAGAAGTGTCTGTAAATTGAACTCTTGAGCATCACACTGCTTAGTTACCATTTTTTTTTAAATATTTTCAGCACTTGATGTAATGGAAGACCCCATTAAAATTTTGTGCCAATGACAAATGAGATTTTCATTTTCTCTTCCAAATGTGTTAGCACAAGCTAATGAACTCAATGTTTAACAAAGCCATAAGCATATGCTGACCTGTACTACATAAACAGTTCAACTGACTTGATCAGGGATATTAATGCGAGTTTTTGATGGATATTTAAACCCCGTTGCTCAATAACATACAATAATAAAAGAACTGCTGGTTTATGTGGAAGTTAGTGCTGATGCTCACTCAGAAGTAACAGCTGACAAGAAAAACATGACAGCCAGATGCTTAGAAGAGCTCTCTTCTGCACACCAGCCTGAAGACCCAGATTTAGCCACCTTTTCATTTGTAATTGAAGAACTGTGAAAGCTTTGCAGGGTATTCTATCCAAGGCACAGAGTATTTTGAAAGCACTATGATGTACCCAAACCCAGAGATCAGGGTCTCACTATTCCCCAACAGACTCAGATTTTCTACAGAGACCTTACAATTTCAGGGCTTGAGTGCCCACAGAGCCACACCTGAACTACGGTTTCCTGGTCACTTCTTTAAGTGCTGAGCGGAAATAATTAATAATTTCTACTTGGATTCCATAATCTAAAGATGCCAAGCCACTATAATTTAACAGTTTAGTGGTGACAGCTGGTTGGTTGTACCCATGGGGTGCACAGCCTCAGCCCATTTTAACAGCAAAATAAATCATTCTCTTTGGAACTGGGCATAACTCAAACTGTGCCCAAGGCCAGTTCCTGCCTTCCAGCAGGGCTGACACAAGGTGGCTTGGCCATCCATGGGAATTTGCAGTAGAACCACATTCTCTCAGGAGCAGCTGAAAGGTTTAGACAAACTGCTCCCCTAGACCAGAAAAGGAAGTGCAAGACTATAAATATATCCATGATCACAGTGATCATTCCACTTTGACGCTTCTTACAAGGATAACTTCCCACTCATCAGTCCTAAAAAATCCTCAAGCTCCAGCTTTGAGTTTCTCTCATCCTCCATGGTTCCCCAGGAACCCTGGAATGCAGACCCATGGACTAATTTCCACAGGCTGTGCACACCAAACATGCAAGAAAAGCTTTGCCTTACTCTAATGTTGCTAATTGATGACCAAATAATTATTAAAATAATCTAGCGTTTCCCTGTGCTTTGAAATAGGACACCTAATCTTGAGCTCTTGTTACCTACTGCTTATTTTTACTTTTATTTCTTAATTGAAAACAGTGTTGTCTTTTTTTTTTTAATTTTACAAGATTTAACCCTTAAGGTATACATATCTCTACTGGACACTTATTTGAAATTACATGTAATTCTTAATTACATCTGAATTCTGAAATTTTCCTCACACTTTCAATTCTTCAGTGCTTTTTAAAAAACTTTACTGATAAGATATCCAAAACATCCAGACATGCAAACTTATCTCTTGCATCTAAAGTTTCTCCTTTCCAAGGATATCCAGGCCTGTAACTGCTGCTAGGTTTAGCAATATAAAATCTATTTATTTAAAGGGATTAAAAAAAAAAAAAAAGAAACTTCAGGCCAGTTAGTGTTCCAATTCTCAACAGTTAGAATAAACGATCAAAAGTAGGAAAAATCCCACCTCTCCTTCCATACTGCCTTCACAGTATTTTTTCTCCTTTCAGTAGTCAAATATAGATTTTTCCATGACATTTTGATTAGGCTCTTACTGTGAACACATTAAGTGATAATTGGTCCAAAAATACTTATTGAGCCAGGAATATCAGAATACAGTAAATACCAGGAGCACCATAGGCAGCTGTATGAATCACTTCACATACCTGTGGTTTTCCAGGTTCCTGTGCTTAGTCATGAGTACACTCTTCACATTCTCGTACACAGAACACAATTTCTGCCAATTTTTGTTCTTGGCTTCTACACTGCCACCTGTAGTCACACAAGAGAAATTAGCAATATTTTATGCTGCAAATCCTATTAGCACAATGTTTCAGCTCACTTGTTTTTCTAGACAAACATTCTAAAGCGTTCCCCTTTTGTAAAAGGTGCATTTCAATACTCAAACCAAGTTATTTCCATTTTTCCCTTTAATGCATTTGAAGAAAACAGAAAGAAGAATTACCACCAAACAATCCCAATTCATTTTAAACCAAGGGGACATTTAAAACTCTCAGACTCAGATTTTTATTTTATCCTCTTGCTTGGTGGACACATCATAACCTTGACAGAGCAAAATGACTTCTAAAGTGGCAATGCAAAAACATCTGCACTTAATTACTTGGTAAATACAAAAAATCTAATTGGATTTGTTCTTCCACCTGAAAAATGAACGTAGTTTTACAGAAACATAATATCCATGCTCAGCTTAGTTGCCTTATATAGGTTATAAGGAAATGTATGCAAATAAAAACTGTTAGTATTTGAAAGATTATCTCATAGAATTAGCAGTGATCTTGAACTTTTTTATACAATGAAAAGCATTCAATTTATTCCAGGCTTACTGCACTTTGAGCAATATGCCACAGATCCAGCCAAATCAACAATTTACAACAAAATAAGACCTAAACACAATATAGCTGGAGCCCTCACGTTAATCCTTCCCTGAAAATGTGAAAAAAACCAGAAATCTCATGCCTTCCTGGAAAAACCAAAGCTTCCTGGTGCTCAGAACACGGGTTTCACCGAATAGCGAAGTTTCGGAGTACAAGCTCCGGGGGGAAAACCTGGCTTTTGCACGCACACGCCTTCTCCTTCCCTCCAGCTAAGACCTGCTCACCATCCCTGGGAGCGGGCGCCCGAGCGCTCCCACCTCGCGTCTCCCGGGAAAAACGCTCCGGAGTCGGGAGCGGCCAGGACCCAGCTCGGGTCCCCGCAGCGCGGGGGGCTCGGGGCGCCCTGCGCTGCCCTGCGGCGGCGACACCCGCAGAAAAACCTCACACTGAATGGAACAGAAACCGAAATCAAACGCGATTTCCAAGAACAAGCTGGTCTTAGAAAAAGAAGAAAAAGAAAAAAAAAAAAGAAAAAAAAAAACCAAAACAAAAACACCAAACAAACAAAAATAAAAAAAGAAAAAAAAAACCACAAAACACCACAAACCCGAAGATGACAGAATAAAGAAATAAAATCCCCAAGCGCCGGCGAGGCTACCCACGTCCCGACGCACGCGTCCAGGTAACCCTCTCGCCTTCCCAGCGGACGGGAAGGCTCCGCGGGAGCCCCCCGGGACCGGCCCCCATCCCATCCCATCCCAGCCCGGCCGCGGCCGCTCAGGTGCGCCGGGCACCGCCCGCTGCCCGCGGCCCCGCACCCCGAGCCCCCCCAATGCCCCGACCCCTCGCAGCACCCCCGAGCACACGGGCTCCGCCGGGACGCTGCCGGGCAGGGTCAGCGCTCCGGGGAGCGGGCGCTGCCCACCCACCCACCTGCGCCGGCCGGGCCGGTGCCGCAGGACGTGGCGGCGGCTCCTCCTCGCCAGCGCTGCGCAGCCCGCGGGAGCCGCGCGTCCCGGTGCCGGGATTCCTGCGGGAGGGAGGGCGGGCGAGGGAGGCGGCTCACGGCTGGGCACAGCCTCCCGCTCCCCCGCCGGCTCAGCCTGCCGCCAGCCCCTCCAGGCACGTTCCGCCGGGCGGACCCGCAGCGCGCACCTCCGGCCCCTTCCCTTTTTATCGCGGGGCCGGGGCTCCCGCCGCCGCCGCCGCGCTCGCACCGCCCGCCACCCACCTGTCCGCGCCCCGGAGCCGCCCCCGCTCCGGCCCCGCTCACCGCAGCGGCCTCCGCCAGCTCTGCGGGGCTCTGCGGGGCTCTGCGGCTCCCGCAGCCGCCCGCGGGCTCGGGCTGGGGCTCTGCGGAGGAAAGGGAGGAGGCGGCGGTGACGCTCCCGCGGTGGCCGTGCCGCGTCCCACCTGCGCCCGCAGCCCCCGAGCGCCGGCAGGTTCGCCGCCCCCGCGGCGGGGAGGCGTTCGCCAGGCGCTGGAGGAGCTCCGGGTGCCTCCCCGCTCTGCCGCCCGAACGAACGAGGAGTCTTGGCCGCTACAAATAATTGGCGTGCTCAGGAACGTGCTGGAAGCCCAGTTGTTGATGGGTCTGTGACAGCTGGTGTTGAGGGATAGCCTGGCGGGAGGCGGTAGGGTCTTAAAAATGTGAGTTGCGATGCTTAAAAAATTCGAGGAAAGCAGCGGGTAAATAGAGAAAAGTGTTAGGAAAATGTCTGTGCTGTAACTAAAACTGCAGCTCAAGTTGAGGTTGTGCACATGCCATCTGAGCTCTCGCACTGGTGGAAGAGCAGCACATCCTCATGAACACTTCTCTCGTTCTCTGTCTTTTGCCTGGTGTGTTTGCATCTTGGAAACATATGATGCATTGAAATTCTTGAGTTTGTATCTTTTTGTTCAAATGGGTGATGTTGGCATTGAAAGTGTGCCCTAGCACAACCCAGAAGAGGAGCGCTGGGAGGAGTTGAGTGCATTGGTGCAGCGTCACACCAACTGATACCACTTTCCAATTTGTGTAATCAAAATATACTACATTCGTTCTTCCCACAGCAATAGATTCCACTTTGTTTAAGACAATCTTTACCTTTCCCAAATGTTTTATTCTACTCCTAATGTTTTGGGACCCAACCTTTTCAAGGTAAGCCAGAAATCCATACAGTCATGTTACAAACTGTGATATCACCCTGTAGTCTAGACATGTTAAGAAGTAAGCTACAAAAATAAAATCACTTTTCTTCATCTAGTCTTCTGCAGAATTAAGGCTATTTTCGGTTCCTCTTCTTACATCTCATAAGTGAGACGCCAGACTACCTGAATATTTAATGAGTAGTAAACCAGAAATCCGTAAAAGTAGCAATTATAACACATGTATTTTGATAGCAATGTAGACAGGTCCTTATCTGAGAAAGTTTGTACAGTTTAATTCCATTAGATTAATAAACAGCAATTACATCTAATCATATCTGCAGCCATTCCTAATGTAAAAATACCAAAATCAAATAAAACTTACACTAAAAAAAGTATAAATTAACCCAATAATGATGAGGATAAGAGTTGATACAGGCATGTAGAAATTGTGTTTTTAATCTACTTCATCCAAGAAAACACTCCTGGTCTTTCCCTTCAAAACCTAGCAACCTAGTGGCACACTGGTACAATAATTCAGAAAACAATGTGAATATTGGAAACGGTTGTGCCATGGCTCTCCTTAAAAAAGCATTTGTTAAACACCCAGAACAAGCTTTTACAGCTGATAAGTGATAAATTTTGTTTTATCTCTAGACTGTATGTTTATCCTCTTGAGCTTATGGTACATGAGACAAAGTTGTTAAGTTTTTCAGTTTTACCTCCTCACCTAAATTTCAATTAAATGCAACTATCAATATACCAAGAGTTACCAACTGGTGAATATCATATGAAATTCCATAGTTATCTGCAGTGAAGTCTGCCCATGACTTCCAGGACTGTGTCTCTTCAAACAGTACCTCAGCTATAGAAACCACATTGACATGCCTCCAGTGCAGAAGAACTCATTTTCCACTCAGCCCTTCATAAACATAATGTTTTGTCAACAGGTGTCTTTCCTATAACTGTTACAAATGTATTAAATGTTGGTAGGAAGTTCTTGTCTTTTCACTGAAGCATGGCCAGTGCAACAACTGTTCCATCTGCAAAAGAAGCCATTGTTCCTTTCAGGTCTTACACAACACTGCTGTTAAATCTGGCCCATCACAGGAGAAATGCTCTCTCAATTCTTATTTTCCAACCATGAAAATAAGCATTTGGTCACTTAATAATGACTATTAATCAGACACTATCATACTTGCCTTGAGTGTGTGAGATGAAGATAATTAGATCAGTCATGCACAGACCCTTTCTTTCACCTCCTCTCCTCTATACCACCCACCTCCCAAGCAGTTCTGCCTTTTTTCTTCAGCAATTCAGGCTTGGAAGAATAAATTCCATTGTAACAATGATTCAGAGACAAACTGAAAGCCAAGTGAAATATTGTTCTCCCAAATCTGACAGGAAGACTTATAGGATGGAAACACCCAGAAGATAAAATCCAGTTCTCTTATAATATGCTCCAGAAAGCATTACTTATCACTGTCCCCTCATTCCCAAAATATATGCATCAACTAATGCGTTGCTGTAGTACTGAAAATTTCCAGTTTTCCAGATGATGAGCTGTGACTCAGTACTCCTACTGATACATCTCAATGCACCATCCATTTGTTTTATGTGCTGGTAGATCATCTCACCCTTTCCTTCCACAAAAATTTACTAAGAACCCTCCTGTGTCTGCAGGTCTGATCTGCCACACCATGTCCTGCCCCATCCACCTGAGACCAGATCAGGTGAAAGCTCTTCTACTACAGTATTTCTCTGGTCTATCTCCTTGTTTCAGTTGCTACCAAGTGTGTTTAACATGCAGGTCACAATCTTAAACTTTCCAGGCTGGACTACACCCTTGTTTATTGTATAGGGAAATCTGAACAGTGGGCACAGACATCTTTCACTCTGTGTCAAGGGAGTTCATAGAAACTACTTTGGTGAAATTATTTTTTGTTTTCTATACATGCAAAATCCCTTCTAAGAGTCAGTGAGGTGATGAAGCAAATTTTGGTCCATTTATAATCAAAAGAATGACTTCAGTCTACTCTAAGGAAACCAGAATTTGGCATAATAAAGCCAACAGCTGGTTGAGGAAGAATAACAGTGTGGGCTCTTTGATGTTCACAGATGAACACCAGCAATCAGAGACTGAGTTAGGATAGCACATGATATTTCTGAGTAGTAGGAAGGAGTTAAAACCATTTCATAAGCCCATTTATCAAGAACCAATTTTAATATAGGAAAATCATCCATTGCCTGTAATAGCGGCAAAAAAATATCCTATAAAACATTTAGCATGCAAGAATATTGTGATAATGAGAAATCTGTGTTAAACAGTCCTTAGGAACTATGCAGAATGTAGTGCAAGCAGCTGGACAGTTTTCCTGATTTCAGGGAGTCCTCTTGCCTCAATTTGCTATGTACACTGAACATCAGCATGGAGCAGTGAGGGTATTTTAATATCTTCAACTTCTGTCAAAGCTCTGCAACATTCCCCAATGGACATCAGAGACAAAAACAGGCAGAGCTATGGAGTAAAAATACAGTTATAGTTAAAACTGTTAATTTAGTTTTAACATCTGCTTAGAGACATTCATTAGTTCATTAGTGAGCATGGAAATTTACACCAGAGAAATTCAGTGTTGGGGAGGAGAGTAAATGCCCTGACATGGGATTCAGAAGAGTAAAGGAAATGAGCTGGCAGTGGGAAGGAATTGCTCATGGTGGTAGTGGGAGATGTGTGGCCAGACCTCTGCAAGGGTAAGGAAATGTTATAATCCTGCACATTACATCTAAGCAAACAGAACTACAAAGGCTCTGTCTCCAGCCAAGCCAGAAAATCCAGGAGGCAGCTGATCAGCTCCCCCAGAACAAGTTCTCCCTCGAAGAATCTGCTTTAGCTGAAATCATTGGGAATGAATAACAGTTGCCTATAACAACAACCAATTTCCTCACGTTACATCTTTCCTCCTCAGTTAAATTATCATCCTTCTAATAATAGGACCATCAAGAGCCTTTTTCTCCTTCTTTGGAAAAGAATAGCTGAGAGTTATGTTCAGTCATGAAATGTTAACAAAACCTGGACAGCATTTTAAGGCAATAGGCTGTTTCAATTTGATGGTGTTGCAATCATTCCAAACTCCTTGTTTTGGAGTTACAAAATCTCCAACCATCAGGACAAGAAAATGAGATTTTCCTTCACATCAGTTTATTCGTTACCAACTATTTCTGGTCTCTACTCAATGAATATGATAATGCCAGCAACCATCTAACTTGAGCAAAGTAAGGCTTGAGTGTCAATTCCATGGAAACACAATCATTTAATGAAACTCTCCTGCTTCATCTACTGTGCTTTAAAGTATTTCCCTTGCCATCTCTGTAGCAGGTTCATGATCAGTGCTGCTTGTTAAATAAACACATAGAGTAGAATCAGTCTCATTCCTTAGGATGTCTTCACCATTTCTCTGCCCAAACCCTTGCATGTTCTTCTCCAAGTGGATTTCATTAGATCTCAAGTCACTTTCTTCCCCCCTAAGGAATACATTGGTTTGCTGCAACCCTCTTTAAGAAGAAGCCAAAAAGCAATACAGTTTACATTTAGACTCCAATACAGGTTAAAAAACCCCTCTATTTTTCACCTAAAATAGAAGAGCTCTGTTCCTACAGACTGGGAAATCATTACAAATTTTTATTTGCTTTAAATGAATTGTAGCTAATATGGGCCTACAAATTAGATATCCATGACCACATAACTACTGGGAAATTTGTCCCTTTTTGTCTACATCAGCCATTGAAGCCATTCATTAATCTGTTTTCTAATGCAACCATTTCCCTGGACCAAACCTATTTAGAGACACCACTGGTTATTAAAAGCATTTGCAATAAAACTGACATGCATTTCTAAGAACCACTGCATAAATCAATATAATTTCTTAATTGGTTAACCAAATAGCTGCCAGGCTAATGAGTCACACAGAATCACAGAGAATCACACAGAATCACACAGAATCACAGGGTTGGAAGAGACCTTCAAGATCAAGGAGTCCAATCCAGCCCTGACACATCAACTAGCAGGGTACCTGCAATTCTCTGCAAACATCCCTTTCTCCCTGATGACACTTCTTCAACCACTACACAGCTGCACAGGAGGAAAAGTTCCAGTGCCCCTTTTTCTGCTCCCTGCAGTCATTTCAGCTCATAACATTTCAACACGTGGACTGTTCATTTTCTAGTCATTTGGATCTTTTTAGAATATATTCTTAAAACTTATTTGTGAGGGCTCTGTCTCTAACTACCCATGCAATATATACATTTTTAAAGTGAGGGGTTTATAACAGCAATGAATAGGATAATCAGATGACTGACTGCCTAAGGAAGAATTGTAGACTATCTTGGAAAGGAAGCACTGGAGAAATCACAAATTTTATATATGCAAGTGCCAAACCTAATTATGGGTCAATTTGATGTAAATAAACTCCAAGATCTTTCCATGATAATACTCTGAACTCACAGGTTGGGAAATTGAGTTAACTCCAATGCAGTGTTATCACTTGTGTGAGAACTAAACACTTATTGAAGAGACACCTTCAAGATATGAGTATCTGATGCTCCTAAATGATAAGAATAAATATAAAACATTGAGCTAGAGAATCTAATAGAACTCTTGCAGCTGGGGCTGCATTTCAAATGATAAAATACAGCCTCCTCACCAGCAATTGTTTCAGTTAGTGGAAACAGTTTTGTCAAATATACAGTGTTTTGCCAAAAAGAAAAGGCACTGATACAGCTTTCTATAGTTTCCTACTGGGTAATTTGCCACTGTTTGAGGCAACACAGAATATATCTGAACTGTCTTTTCCCCTCTGTAAATTCAACGTCATTTACTGGGTTTTAAACTTTAATGTAGCCCGTTCAACAAGGAAGAGTCAGCCACAAAGTTCAGGTTGTGACTTGAGTCCCAGTTTCCCCAGAGTCTGCTGAATGAAGCACCTTTGGTTTAGGATCCTCTTTAGACTTCATTTCTCCTATTCACAGTCAGGACAGGGCA